AATATTCTGCAACATTTCCCCCTTTTGTCTAAACCAAAAGAAAACAGTTTAACTCTAACACAGTTAAGATATATAAAAAGATTTCTTATCAGTAAGAATTATATTCACAATTTGTATTTGGCAATTTTGTAGAAAATACTCCATTATCTATCCAATCTTGATAAATTCAAAATCTTATACCTAAACCACTTTCTATCATAACTTGCATTATCATCCTAAAAATATAATTTTAAACCTTAGATAGTTCCTTAATTAAACAACTTATGCTTTTAGGTTTATCGACCTTTATAACCTTTGCATCTCTTATGCAAGTTTCTTTTCTACTTGGTAACAAAGAAAATGAAATATTTATCTAGACTTCAACCTCGTCAGAGACCCAAGAAGGATAAAATATTACCTGAGTAAACAGGAAGTACAGAACATGCAACACAGTGACAGCAGTGACAGCATCCTCAGGAGCTCTAGGGCACAATCCCTTCCTTTCCCAGCTCTGATGGCTACTGACATTCCAGGGTGTGTGTGTGTGTGTGTGTGTGTGTGTGTGTGTGTGTGTATTCACACGTGTATGTTTGCATGTGGACTTGTGTGTATGTGTATGCGCATGTATGTAAATGTGTGTGTTTGTGAGCATGTATGTTTTCTGTGCATGTATGCATACACATATGGGCATATAGTTGCTCACACACATGCACACTCTCACCAAGAAGCTTGAGATGGTATCAGCATAATCCAGGATACCTCCTTACCTCCTTGACCTTTGACTTTTTGCAACCTTGACTCTGAGTCACATCTACAAAAATCTTTCATATATATATATATATATATATATATATATATATATATATGAATGCTGAGCATTAACAGACTCCAGGGACTAGGGTGTGAACCCTCAGGGGTCACCATCCAGTACTAGGAGGAGGTGTAGAAGGACCTTGAGTATCAGCTTTGAGACATGCCTGTCTGCACAGAGAAAGAGCCAGCACCTGTTTGCACTGTTGTCCTTCTTGGCTGATCCCAAGACTCTCAGGAGTTGGTTCTGGAGAGATCACAAGTCTTTCACAGGCACAGAGAAGGCTGGCTGGAGGAGAGAGAGAAGGAGCTGCAGCGGTGGGCAGAAAGCTCCCTGGGAAGTCTCTCCTGGGAAGCTCAGCTCCGAAGCCTCCGGGCCTCTGTGTGAACAAGTTTCCTGCTTCTTCAACAGCTGCATCTTTCTGCCTTAAGTATGTTTCCTCTGAGAGGTGACTTTCCTCTGTGGTCTGAGCTACTGGCACCCCACACCACATTTTCCAGCACTCATCCTGTGTACACACATGTGAGTCACAGCCTGGCCCGCAGCATAAGCACAGGACTCAGGATTTAAACCCTGTACTTGCCAAACAGGCGAGTTGTTGGGCTGCACCACTGCCTGCCTCTGTAGTCACTCTGCCTCGTCCGTCCTGTCTGCAGCATGCATGTGGAGAGACGAGTCCAGTCAGGAGGGTAAGGACCAATCTTCGCCGTGGACTGTGTGTGTTTGATTGTTGATCCTGAATTGTCTTACTTGATTTTCTATAAACGATAGAATTAGCTGGAAAGGGCCAGCATATCAGCTTGGAAATGCCTATCTGTTACCTTGCACCCCTGCCATCACTGTGAGAAGCATGGGTGTGGGTGGAGCTCCTGGTCTTAGAAGAGGGCGGACAGTATACACAATGGTCACAGACTCGTGGGTAAGAAGACAGAAGAACCCAGCTGAGCCCAGACTCAAGCACAGCTGCCTTCCAGGAGAAACAATAAAGAACTATATGAAGCCTCTGGCCTTTGAGACGTGTTCTATGTGATTGTAACTAACAGACAAGGTGGCTTTGGGCAAGATGTTTAATTTGTTCATGCTTCATTTTCCCATTTGTAAATAGGGGAAATAATGTCTATTTCATGCAACTTTCTCAAGACAGGTTGGCCCATGACAAGGGCTGTGTAAGTATTGTCTTAGTCACTGTTCTATTGCTATGAAGAGACACCACGACCCTGGTAACTCTTATGAAAGAAAGCATTTAATTGGGGGCTTGCTTCCTCACAGTATCAGAGGTTTAGTTCAGTGTCGTCATGGCGGGTAGCCATGGCGCTGTCCAGGCAGACGTGGTACTGGAGAGAAGCAGAGAGTTCTATATCTGGATCAGCATGTAGCAGGCATAAAAAGACACTGGGCTTGGCTTGAGATTTTAAACTCCAAAAGCCACCCCCAGTGACACACCTACTCCAATAAAACTATACCTCCCAATCCCTTAAGTAGTGCCACTCCCTGATGACCAAACACACAAATATTTGAGCCTATAGAGGCCATTCTTAATCAAATCACTACAGTATTCCAGAAAATGAGCTTCCTCTTCATTTGAATAGTAACTGTCTTGCTGTAATGCTCCCGGTGACTAAAGAAGGCATTTGGTGACTATCCTTTGAGTGGGTGTGGTTTTTCTTAACCCCAATCCCACAGAGATTTTAAGGCTAAATACAGACTTACTTTTGCTTGAAAGAATTCATCATTTAATGAGCACTTACTATGTGTCAGGTTTGTACACTAGAAGCAGGGAAAATTGCTGTCTTCACTGTAGAGAGAAAGAAAATGAGGATGAAGGAAGAGAAGGAAATGGAAGTTACAAAATAACAGAACTCATGCCTGATCCCACATCTGATATCCAAGCTCCCACGTTCCTCCATCTACCCCAGAATGTCTCCCTGACTACATATTGGGGCAAAGAGTACGGGGGCCATGGGACAAGACCTGCTCTGTGGGCCAGAGGCCCAAAACTGTAGGTGTGGTTTGTCTTGGGTTTCAAGTCCTCAGGGTCTCCTCTCATGGGCATGGCTGCCTGGCACTATCAAGGCAACAGGAACCCCGTTGTCAACTTGTTCTCTGGAGACATATTGGTCTCTCCCCTAGCTTCCAGCTCAGCTGACACTTTCCAGAGGAATCCGTTTTTTGGGGGGGGGTCCATTCCCCAAGGGCCTCTTCATGAACAAAGCATGAAGGCACAGTGAGATGCTAAGCCAGGCTCTCTCCTTTGGGCAGGCACTGGAGAGTCGGGAAGTCCATCTGAGTAATCAGGTATAGCCCAGGACTCCCGGACCAGGATGGATTGGTCAGCTGGGCCCATGTCTTAGTGGACCTCCAGTGAGGTGGAGCAACTGCTTGTACGCTGCCTCTTGGGGTTGCCTATCTCCTTCAGAGGTCCTCTCCTATCCTCAGAGAACTTCGTGTTCTCCCAAGGTTCTTGCAAGGAAGTGGAGATGGAGTCCACAGTGCCAGGAGTCTTGGACTCAGGGTGTCAAACGTCAGCTGTGCAGACCATAGAACTTCTCAGCACCTCGGAGTCTTAGTTTCCCATCAAGGAATACTGTAACTGCTCAGAGGTCCATAGCACTTTACATAATAAAGCATCATTATGCTTTATTTATTTAGCCGACCATACTTCAACATTGTTCTGACACAGGCTCAGAACAAGACACTTTTTTATGTATTAATCTCATTATTTTTATTTGTTTGACATCTTCTTTTGAAAAATTATATAACTTCCCTGAGAATTTGAATTTTATGTTTTAATTATATTCACCTCTCCCCTAACTCCTCCCAGAGTCACAACCCTTTCCTACCAACCAACATTGTGTGTGTGTATGTGTGCATTTTGTCTGTCTGTCTGTGTGTGTGTGTGTGTGTGTGTGTGAAGTCCAATTTGTGCTGACTCTGCATTGTTGGATGTGTGACCTTCCACTGGAACATGGATGACTTATAGGGAAAACACTCTTAAAGAAAACAAACTTTATTCCTCCCAGCAAATATCAATTGTCAACAGCTTCTTGGCTAGGGATGGGACTCTGTATTCATCTCTCCTCTCCATGCCAGCATTTGTCCTGGCTTGCGCTTGCACGGGTCCCACGCATGCTCCCACACCTCTGTGAATGTGTGTGTGTAGCTGCCCCGCAGTGTCCAGCAGACACTGTTTTCTTGCAATCAGCCATCGCCCCTGGCCCTGACACTCTCTGCCCCTCTTCTGCTAGGCTTCCCAAGCTTTGGTGACAGGAGGTGTGTTGCAGATGTCCCTTTAGGGCTGAGCATTCTGTGGTTGCTGATCCTTCACACCTAGGTCCACTGTGGATCTCTGTTAATCACTGTGTCCTGAAAATATGAGCTTTTCTGGGGAGAGTTGAGAGAGACATTAATCTATGGATAGATCGGTTCTTAAAACTAGATTTTGTGCGATGGAACTCTTTGGTTTACAGAGGAAGAAATGAGAGTCAAGGAAAACTCATAGTCACAGCTTTTGAACACCTGTCCACTCAGTGTCCAGCTTCCTCCTTCCCAGGGGAACCATGATTTTAACCACAAAGCTCTCATGGAAGAGGAGTCCTTCCCACATGGGAAGACCGGTGCCCATCTCTCTGTCTTCTGAAGCCTCAGAGGGCATGAGGGGAAATTCCATTCGCCTACGCAGCTATCAGGGTGAGGGTCTCGATTATGCTCACCCTCATCTGAAACCCTGCTTTCATCATTAGCGCCTGACACATTTACTCTCTCCTTCTTCCCATTTCTCCAGTCTGGGCTTCTTCAGAACCCATGATGGGTAAGGAGACAATGTGCTAAGTTCTCCATAACACTCATCACAGGAGAGTCTTCCTCTCTGAGTTGTAAGATACTAGCAGTAGAGAAATTCTAAAAGCTGGTGCTTAACAGGTTATCTGTTGAATGAACGAAGGAAGGAAGGAAGGAAGGAATTGAATGAGTAGTAAGTATTGTATCTCTGTATGCTGGGGGAATTGGGCAACCTGGTTTTCGCAGATGAGGAAAGCTAAGCCAACCCACTTGAAAGCCATTACATTATTAATGATGGCTTGAACTTGGCAGAATAAATACCCGCTGCGTTAGCTCACAGCACTCTGCCTTCTGAACTGCCCAGGCATGAACAGCTCAGAATTCAGAACTTATGATGATTGTTCTGTTTCCTTGACTAGGAATGTGGGTCCCTCTGTGTTCACAGCTGCTAAAACCATAGCACGACTCTTGTTTCAAATGTCCCGGAGTCCTCCACCTGCCTACCTGGACGACAAAAGACAACTTGCTACCTGGAGCTTGCTGACATGGTTTTTGGAAAGAACCTGGAATCCCATCCACCTGTCTGCACATTGGCTCACAAGTGCTTCACACGGCAGGTATTTTCAGAGTGGTAGCTGCATGCTGAGCACCATGCTGAGGTGCTGGTTCAGACTGGAAGAGGTTCACTACCCTTCAAGGGAGACTGGAGTAGGGGGACCTTCTGTCTATGTGTTACTTTCATTGGTCAAATAAAGAAACTGCCTTGGCCTTTTGATAGAACAGCAGCTTATATAGGCGGAGTAGACCAAACAGAATGCTGGGAGAAAGAAAGCAGAGTCAGGCAGATGTCATAAAGCTCTGGTTAGATGGACGTAGGTTAGAATCTTCCCTGTAAGCCACAACTCCGTGGTGATACACAGATTACTAGATATGGGTTAAAGCAAGATGTGAGAGTTAGCCAAGAAGAGGCTAGATATAATGGGCCAGGCAGTGTTTAAATGAATACAGTTTCCATGTAATTATTTTGAGTAAAGCTAGCCAGTGGCCAGGAGCCGGACAGAAGGAAAAGCAGCCACTCCCCATTTACAACAGGAGACAATATGACTGACTGCCCTGTGACAGAAGATATAACATCAGGGATTGTGACATGGTATCTGCAAAGCCATAGAATGGATGTCCGTCACTGCCTGGGGGACAGGGAAGGACATGTCCAGATAAGACCTTTAAAAGAACAAATAGAAGCTATCTGGAAGCTACAGATGTGGAAGGGCATCATAGCCAAAGGGATCAGCATGGCTGAGGCTTAAAGGTTCCATGATGCCTTTGGGGGAGCTACAAGCATTGGGCAAGATGTGATGGAGGACTAGGAAGGTCCAAGTCTCTACCTTGAAGTGTTCTAAGCAAAGAAATGATAAGGTCAGCGTTAAGACATAGAAAGATGGCCCTGCGTGTGGTGTCAAGTGTCAGAGGCACAGGATGTTCTCAGGATATCAATCCTCTGTCACCCGACTCAACCCCCTCCCCACTTCCATTTTCTAGTCTTTCATTCTTCTCAGCAAGTCATGTTTGCTCTCAACTTCTGCAATGACCTTTTGTGTTCTCCTTGCTCCAGGCTCCCAGAGCCTTTCCCAGTGAGTGACAGGCAAGGGGAGGGGAGGCCCCCTAGACACCAGGTTCACCAGAACTCTGAGGTTGTGATCTGGATGGGCAGGGGATAACTAAGCCTTCTTGTGTGCAGTGGCATGTTTATCAACCCCCTGGAGTCTGTCTTCAATCAACCACCAGTGCAGTACAGAAGGGCTCCTTGGGAGGGTGACCCGGCTTAGGGTGCTTGCAGAAACCTGCTTCTGGAGGAGAAATTCCTCAGACCAGCACTAGCGAAGCAGAATCCCCAAGAACAGAGAGAAGAACAATCAAAAATCGGGTCGACTTGGGTTTGTGCTGAACCTACAGTCGAAAGCCTCTCTCAGTGGAAAGTCTAAGGAGAAATGGCTGGAAATTGCTGGAAAAGAAGAAACCACAGGGAGGGCCTGGCAGGGACAGGGACTTCATGAGACACTCAGATGTCCTGCCTTGTGACAGGTACAAAGACAGCTTGCAGCATCCCGACTGCGAGCAGCAGTAGGACCGCACCAGGCAGATGACCCCTCAGTAGGATTAAGGACAACATGGGGGTCATGTTTTTGCTAAGATGACCTCAGCAGCTGACTAGGTGCCCCCCATATTCTATTAGACTACACATTAATGCATGCAGAGTCCCTGAGCTTCGTAGGTCTTTAATGAATAGATACCACCTTCATTTTCTAGTTATTCTGCAGCTGACGATGAATGTGACGGGCTATGGGCTGAAGGGCGCACCAAGTTCATTGCCTGTCTCCTTTTGGAAACATTCTAGCTGAAAAGACTTGCCCTTAACTCAACAGTTGTAATAGAAATGACTTATCTAGTGGAGTCCAGAAACTTTACACCTGACTCACCCATTTCCTTCTAGTCCCCAAACCCAGTGAGGTACCCATGGGAGAAATGAACCTCATTCAATCTCTGATGACCAGTCTTGCATCTCCTCGGAACACAGGGAGGCCAGGATGGTATGTATCCAAGTTCCTCTGGCTGGGTGAGCAATGACTCCAGATGCCAGAGGGGTGGATGGAATGTGGTCATCCAGCACTGGGCAGATGGTCCTTCTGCAGAGGCAATCTGTCCCTTCGAGAAATGCTGCAGAGGGGACGTACATACACAAAGAGGAGGTTTGGATCCAAAGCTCAGCCTGGCAACTAGCTGTTTGCTTGTGGGCATGTGATTACTTCTCCCTGTGCCTGTTTAATATCTGCATAGTAGGGATAACAGTGCTGTCTTTGTGTGCTGTGGTGAGAGGTTTTTGGGCCCACATGCCAGACTGTTAGAGTCTTTGAGATCTGGAAGCTGCTCAGTAGTTACCAGTTCTGCCTGCTTGTTCATGCATTCCATCCATCCATCCATCTGTCCGTCCATTCATCAGTCCATCCATCCATCCATCCATCTATCCATTCATCCATCCATCCATCTGTCCATCTGTCTGTCCATCCATCCATCTATCCACCCACCCACCCATTCATCCATTTCATTCTTCTCCAAACAAGACTCTTGGCACAGACCCAACCTCCTCTGTATCCCACAGCCCTTCGAGGGTGGGAGGCTCCTTCTTTGTGGATCTTCCCAACTGTTCCAGAGATGACTACTTATCTGTGTCTTAAAAGCAGGTGTTGGGCTCCTCAGGACTTCCAAGATGACCTCTAATTGGCACATCCTCTCCTCCAGAGAATGTCTGGGTGACAAACAGGGTCTCTTCTCACACCCTGATCCTCACCATCCCTGAAAAGTGGAGTCATACGCTGGAGTCTTTTCCATGCTGTGGCCCAGCTCACCTCTCAGCTTCATCTTGTCGCTCATCTGATGCTGCTCCCAAGCCCAGTCTGTGTTTACATGCCTCCACACTTTGTTCCCATAGCTCTGCTCCCTAAATGCATGTGTGTGTGCGCGTGTGTGCGCGCGCACACACACACACACACACACACACACACACACACACCTCCATCTCAAAGCCTTTGCTGGCCCCTGGGACCCTCAGCAAACCCAACCACTGCAAATCTTTTGAGCCCTAGAATCAATGCTGCTTTTTGTTGTCTGTCCCCAAAAAACCAAGCTTTGAAAGCCATTGAGGGAAATGTTTATTTACTCTGGTCAGATGAAACATTCCTTCCTCCTTACAATCTTTATTTTAGGGCTGCCATGACAGAATAACGTGTGTGTGTGTGTGTGTGTGTGTGTGTGTGTGTGTGTGTGTGTGTG